CAGCAACATAAAATGGAGTGAAAATAGCCTCTTCAACAAATGGTGTTGGGAGAACTGGACAGCCACGTGCAAAAAAAATGAAACTTGAGCACCAATTTGCACTGTATACAAAAATAAATTCAAGGTGGATAAAAGACTTAAATATAAAACGTGACACCATTAAACTCCTAGAGGAGAACGTAGGTAGGAAAGTCTCAGATATTTCACGAAGAAACTTTTTTACTGACTTGTCCCCTAGAGCAAGGGACATAAACAAAAAATAAACAAATGGGACCTCATCAAAATTAAAAGCTTCTGCACAGCCAAAGAAAACAGTATCAAAATTAAAAGAGAACCAGCTGTATGGGAAAACATATTTGCCAATGATACCTCAGACAAGGGTTTAATCTCCAAAATATATAAAGAACTTACAAGACTGTACTCTAAGAAGACAAGGAATCCAATTAAAAAGTGGGCAAAGGACTTGGACAGACACTTCTCCAAGGAGGACATACAGAAAATCCAAAGACACATGAAACTATGGTCAATATCGCTAGCTATCAGAGAGATGCAAATTAAAACCACAATGAGATACCACTTCACACCAGAAAGAATGGCCATCATAAACAAAGCAACAAACACCAAGTGTTGGAGAGGTTGTGGAGAAAAGGGATCCCTAGTGCACTCTTGGTGGGACTGCAGACTGGTACAACCACTATGGAAAGCAGTATGGAACTTCCCCAGAAAACTAAAAATGGATCTGCCTTTTGACCCTGCAATTCCACTACTGGGACTCTATCCTAAGAATACTAAAACACCAATTCAAAAGAACCTATGCATCCCAATGTTCATAGCAGCACAATTTACAATAGCTAGATGCTGGAAGCAACCAAGATGCCCATCAGTAAATGAATGGATCAAAAAACTATGGTCCATTTACACAATGGAATTCTATGCAGCAGAAAGAAAGAAGGAGCTCCTACCCTTTGCACCAGCTTGGATGGAGCTGGAAAACATTATGCTAAGCGAAACAAGCCAGGCAGTGAAAGACAAATACCATATGATCTCACCTTTAACAGGAACCTAAATAACAAAACAAAGAAACAAGCAAAATGTAACCAAGACACTGAAATAGAGGACCGGCTGACAGTGACCACAGGGGAGAGTAGAGGGAATTTAAGGGGACAGTGGGAAGGGTTCACAGGAACAAACTTAAAGGACACATGGTCATAAACTAAGGGGAGGGTGGTAATGGGAGGGAAGTGGGGAGGGGTGGGAGGGGGGACTGGATTGGGAGTAAAAAGGAGAAAACTGTATTTGAACAATGATTAAAAAAAATAAAAATAAAAAAATGCAGATTCTGATTCAGTAGGTTTGCAATGGGGCCTGTAATTCTGCCTAATAAGCTTTGAATGATGCTGGTGATGTTGGTCCACGGACCACACTTTTGAGAATTAGGAGCTTAGAGAAGTGAAATAACTTACTCAAGATGTGGTGAAGGGTAGCCTGCACTTTTAACCATCTATCTGCCTCCAAAACCCATGATCTTTCTTAATCATAAAATCTATGGCTCTAGAATGATAGGCTGAGATTTGGATTTTATCTGTAGGTATTGGCAACCATTGAAAATGTGTAAGCAAAAAAGGGTCCAGTCAGAAAACTTATATTACTGTTTTTGGATGTGTTCCCTATGAGTATTTTATTTGTTCTTTTTAGTATAGATCTCTTAGGTCAAAATGAAGTGCAGCTAAAAAGACAAAGCAACTAGGGCTCCAAATTTTGTTAAGTAATAGGGATGGTTTATTAGACCATCATTCTACTCTGGAATGAGGGCAATAATTGTCTCTTATTTAGTGTTTCCTGCCCAGTCCCCCCAAGGCATTTTACTAATAAGCACCATCTTTCAAAATTGAAAAAGTCATTGGAGAGAGGCTAAGGGACTTGATACGGTGGGCTGACTACTGGACATGCCTTCACTGGTTCTGTGGCATCTAGACTCCTGTACCACAGTTCAGCTACAACTAAAACATTGCCTCAACTGCTTCATCTGTTGCTACCAGGATTTCCTGAGTATGTCCAGGAAACGTTAGTCTCATAAAACACTAAATGAAAAAAAGTCAACATTTGGAAAATTCTGCATGCTTTATCTCTTCCTAGAAAGATATAATCAGCGTTAGCACAGACAGGCTCTGAGAAGTTTCACAGTACAAGAATTTATTTAACTCTGTACAACTCAGTGGTTTTTCAAACTAATTTGACCTTAGAATTAACCCCAACTTTTTTGTCCCTCTCAACTCTTGACATTACGGTAAACAGTTTTTTTGTGTGTACTCAAAGATAACTACATCCTTTGAATGCATAATTATCAGTTGCCTGGGCCTGTGTTCCTTTTTGAGTGACTGGCAGATTTGGCATTTTGGCATCTAGAACAGCAGAATAGTGTAGTTTTTACTTAGATTTTACTTAAGCCGAATGCTCTTATGACTTTTAAAACTACAAGTGGTTATTTGGAAAAAATATCACAGACTTATCTGCATGTTTCCCTGTTCATTTTTTTTTTTGAGGGGTAAGTTTTGCTTTCGCTTCTTTTGTTTGTTTGTTTCACATGTTTGATTCTGTTTTGACAGTCATAAAATCTTCCTTCCCATTCTGTTTCACTTTTTTAAAAAATCCCAGAAATATAATCATTGCCAGACATGACATTTATATTGAGTCTTTAATTTTTTTCTAAGTATATAACATGAAATTTGAATGGCTTTTTAAACTCTGAGTTAATTTGGTGATATGAAAGTGAACTGTTTGTTTTTTTCACCTGAAGGATCTAAGGATCCTTTTTTTAAAAAAAATCAGACTGACATATAGTTTAAACTTATACGAAAGCAGGAAATTCTGGCTAAATAAATTTCAAGATGTTGGTGGGATAATATGCAAGGTTGGGCTCCAATACCATACTAAGAATGAAAAAAATGTAATAATAGAGGAGGATATAAAGTTGGGTTAAAAGAAAAGTTATTGGATATTTTAAAAGATGAACATATAGCTACCAAATAGACTATCTAAATGATATCATAGTTTCCTAAGCAGTCAATTTGTATGTTGTCTTCAGTTTTTAGAGACCTAGTTTCTTATAGAAAGTCATTATATCCTTAGTCTAGAAAAATGGTTTCCATTTTGTTTGGCAGCAGAATTGGTTATGAAGCTCCTGAAAATACAGATGCCCAGGCCTCTATCCAAAAGATTCTGACTAGGTAGGTCTAGCACAGCACTTAGACACCTGAATTTTCACCTCTAAGATGGGTAATTCTGAGGTACAGTAAAGGTTGAGAACAACTGCCTTAGAATATTTTCTTGAGCTCTGGTGTGCCCAAGATTCACACAATTTGTTAAAATGCAAATTGCAAGCCACAACCTACAACAACTGTATATCTCTGTGAAAGTTGTGCAGAGCATAACCTGCACTGCTATGTGGTGGCCTGCCTCACCCTCAGATACTCTCTCTGGTAGACCATGGTGGCTTCAAGAGACAGGTAGTCCCCAGAGTGCACATGATTCAAGAATCATACTCTGAGAATCATTGCTGTAGAAGCATAATTGAAAGTTGATAGGTTCTATGGATGGTCTGTTAGTGGGGCCATAGACTACCTATTCAGATAAGATCCAGGCAAATTAATTTAGGTTGGCCATGCCTTTCTTTCTAGAGAGATTCCATGTGACCATGCAGGCTTGGCCACTTCCAAGCTACAGACACACAAGTTTCCAAATGTCTTCTTGCACATCTCTGTAGTAGATAAGTCATAGAATTCCTCATGCTGTTGTGCAGCCTGGAGCCAAGAAAAGCACAGGGTCTTTGCCTGTAAGCCGGTCAAACAGGTTCCTTTCAGCCTTGTCTGTGGAAGAGACATCACTGCTGCACATGTGATTGCGATCCTGAGAGGGGACCAAGTGGGTTTCAGTACTAGGGACAAAGAGTGGACATTTTGGGAAAATGTAAACTGCTACCTGACACTCATGATTTCACGTACCCAGTGATGAACTGGAACGAGATGATAAGGACTTTCCTCTTTGTCTCCAACTAGTTGTTTTTTTGTCAGACCAGATTTTGAGCCTGCAACAGCAATTCTCAAAGTGTGGTTTATGGGCCCCTGAGGATCTCAGAGACCCCTCCAGGGTGTCTGCAAGGTCAAGACATATCATTAGAATACCAAGTTGTTGTTTGTCTTCTTTATTATGTGGACATTTGCACTGATAGTGAATAAAACTGTAACAGGAACCAAGCACTGTGGAATGAATCAAGGCAGTGGCACCAACTGTACTATTGGTCTTACTACCATGACTTGTGGTTAAAAAACAAAGCCAATTTCATTAAAAATATGCTTGATGAAATAGTTATTAATTTAATTAAGTTTTCACTCTCGAGTGCATGTCTTTTTTTGTGTGTATGTCTGTGAGAAATAGGAAGCAGACATTAAGAACAGCTGCATACTGAAATATCATGGTTATGTGAGGAAATCATGTGTACGGCTATTTCACTGTGAGCAGAAAGAACTAGCTGCTTCTACATGGAATGCCATTTTTACTTGAAAGAACAATTGACAGATGAAATGCAGTGATTTAGGCTTCCATATCTGACAAACATTTTCACAAACATGCCTAAACTGAGCCTGTCACTTTCAGTAAACCATTGGACAGTATTTATTGCCAATGATAAAATTCAAGCTTTCAAGAAAAAAATAGAATTTTGAAAAACTTCTATGTGCCATCATGAGCTTGAAAGCTTCCCAGTGCTTAAAGACTTCTGGTGAGACCCATGGTGATGTTAACAAATGGGATTCTTGTTTACACTATTTAATGAAATGTGCCAATGTTTGGAAGATCTGCATAATTCAGTGAGCCAAAATTTTTGACCAGAACAATGCATGCTTTTACAAAATTTTGCATGGGGAAAAGACCTATTCAAAGTGCAACACAGACCATGAATTTTTATGTAATAGAGAACTAAAAGTTTATTGATACTGTTTCAGATTCCAAACTGCAACTGACTACTAAAGAAACTACTAATGATCAAGTTTGGATGCAGTGCCCAAGAAAAATACTAATACTCACTTGTAAAAGCTATTAAAATACTCCTCCTGGATTTTCTTGACATACTTCAGTGAAAACAATACATCCGATGACACAATGTAGAAGCAGGTATGAGCATCTATTGGTCTTCTATTAAGCCAAACATTAAACAGGTTTTTCAAAACTGCTTTTGTTTATTTGTCTTTTTTAGAAAATATTTATGTTAACATATAACAGGCTTATTGTTGGTATTTTTAAATGAATTAATAGTGTTTTAGGAATTTTAATTTCTAATATAGTAAATATCCATAGCTGTTACCTACATAAGCAAAAACATTTGGGGGCCTTTAACAATTTTTGAGTGTGAATGGGTCTTGATACCAAAATGTTTGACAACTGCTAGCTGAAAGAAACATTCACTAAAGATGTTCCACAGGAAACTTCCAGCCAAGATGGAGATGTAGGTAGACACACTGTGCCTCCTCACGTAACCAAAATAAGGACAACAGCAGTTTAGAAACAAAATAACAATCAGAACCGATAGAAAATTGAACTGTATGGAAGTTGGACAACCAAGGAGTTAAAATAGTTCATTCATCCAGACTGGTAGGAAGGGCAGAATCAGGTAGCTGGGCAGAGAAGGCTCGTGGCACAAAAGTGGTGGCACCAGGTGTGTAAGGCATCCTGGGTGTGCAAGACCACAGCGGGTGGGCCCTGGGTGTGCAGGCATCAGCTAGCAGCCCCTGGGTGCAGAGTGGCAACGGGCAGATCCAGTAAGGCGGTGATTGTGAAGTGAGGCGCTGCGTCAAGGCAGCTGGCTGGTTGGGCAGTCCCACATTCAGGTGCTGATAACCTAGGAGAAACTGGGGAGCAAGTCAGACTGTACAACCCAGGGTCCCAGCACCGGGAAATAGAGCCTTGGGGCACTGACTGAAAACACCTGTGAGGGTTGAGGTGCTGGGAGAGACTCCCAGACTCACAGGACAGTTCATTGGAGAGCCCCAGGGGGTCCTAGAATATGTATAAGCCCACCCACATGGGAATTAGCACCAGAAAGGCCGAGTTCGCTTGGGGGAAGTGGCAGAAGGGACTAAAATCTAACAGAGAGTGGAGCAAGCCACCATTGTTCCCTCTTGGACCCCGTCCCCACATATAGTGTCACAACCCAGACACTGGGTTGCCCCACCCTGGTGTACACCTAAGGCTCCTCCCCTCATACATAACAGGCACAACAAGACAAAAAAAAATGGCTTAAACAGAAGAACAGATCAAAGTCCATAGCAAATACAACTAAGTGACCAAGAGATAGACAACTTATCAGATGCACAGTTCAAAGCACTGGTAATCAGGATGCTCACAGAATTGGTTGAATTTGGTCACAAATTAGATGAAAAAAATGAAGGCTACACTAAGTGAAATGAAGGAAAATGCATAGGGAACCAATAGTGATGGGAAGAAAACTGGGACTCAGATCAATGGAGTGGACCAGAAGGAAGAAAGAAACAACCAAACAGAAAATAATGAAGAAAAAAGAATTCAAAAAAATGAGGAGAGTCTTAGGAACCTCCAGGACATCTTTAAACGTTCCAACATCCAAATTATAGGGGTACCAGAAGGGGAAGAGGAAGAGCAACAAGTGGAAAAGTTATTTGAACAAATAATAAAGGAGAACTTCCCCAATCTGAAAAGGAAACAGACTTCCAGGAAGTCCAGGAAGCTCAGAGAGTCCCAAAGGAGGAACACACCAAGGCACATCATAATTATACTAGCCAAGGTAAAAATGAAGGAGAGAATCCTAGAAGCAGCAAGAGATAAGGAAACAGTAACCTACATAGGAGTTCACATCAGACTGTCAGGCGATTTCTCAAAAGAAACCTTGCAGACAAGAAGGGGCTGGAAAGAACTATTCCAAGTCATGAAAGGCAAGGACTTACATACAACATTGCTCTATCCAGCAAAGCTTTCATTTAGAATGGAAGGGCAGATAAACTGCTTCTCAGCTAAGGTCAAGTTAAAGGAGTTCATCATCACCAAGCCCCTATTTTATGAAATGTTAAAGGGCTTACCTAAGAAAAAGAAGATAAAAAACATGTATAGTCAAATGACATCAAACTCATAATTATTAACAACCACACCTAAAAGAAAAACAAAAACAAACTAAGCAAACAACTAGAACAGGAACAGAACCACAGAAATGGAGATCACAGGAAGAGTTAGCAACAGGGGAGTGGGAGGAGGAGAGAGGGGGAAAAGGTACAGAGAATAAGTAGCATAGATAGTAGGTAGAAAATAGACAGGGGGAGGGCAAAAATAGTATAGGAAATGTAGAAGCTAAAGAACTTACTACACACAGACATAAACTAAAGGTGGGGAATGTGGGTGGGAGAGGTTGTGCAGGGTGGAGGGGAATGAAGGGGGGAGATGGGACAACTGTAATAGTATAATGAATAAAATATATATATATTTAAAGATTTTATTTATTTATTTTTAGAGAGGGAAGGGAGGGAGAAAGAGAGACAGAGAGAGAGAAACATCAATGTGCAGTTGCTGGGGGCCATGGCCTGCAACCCAGGCATGTGCTCTGATTGGGAATCGAATCTGCTATGCTTTGGTTCACAGCCCGCACTCAATCCACTGAGCTACGCCAGCCAGGGCAATAAAATATATTTTAAAAAAAGATGTTCTACAGAATGCTCATCCTTGAGATACTTGACAGAAACCCAACAACCAAAAACAAAGACAACATAAAGTAAGAGCATTTGGCAGTTAAATAAGTTTAAGAAATACTGCTGGTTATAACTCCTTATGAAGATCCACTGTTTAAAGTTTCAGCTTGAACTTTGTTTAATTCCTTCATAAACTTGTTTGATCATGAAAATATTTTTCCTTGGAATGAGCTTCAGGCAATATTGTTCTCTTATTTTAACAGTGAGTGTTATCATTTTAAATATTTTCCAATATGATAGGTTAAAAAGTAGTATGTCATTATTCACTGCCTTCTAAAATTTGGAGTTTTAATTTAAGAGTCAGTCCTGTTTTCTTTTAGAACAGCCTCCAGGCAGTAACTTCTCTACTCCTGCCACCAGGGAGGTAAGTTTTGACAACCACAAAATGTTTAACTACATTCTGGCTTTTCAGTTTTTTAAACTCCAGTTGTTTATTGGACTTCAAAAGGCAGGCAAGCTGAGGCAAACCAATGATAAGAATGTGTTCTCCATCTTACACATTAATGGACTTGGGAAGAGGATCTTTGCTCTAGGACAGAGTCAATTAACTCAGCACTCAGCTGTTAATTAATTAAAAGTCTGTTCCTTTGCTTGAAATGAATGTCCTTTTGGTAGGATGTGATTTGTCCTGTTTAAGTTAATGGTTACCCAATCATAGATGCTGATTGGTTTTCTCTAAGGAATTACTGATTCTCAAGGCTGTGAAAATAAGCAAGGCCAGTTTTACCATCACTTGTAGTTCTAAATGACGAGCCACTGGAATTCTAGTTTAAGAATTGGTTTGTGGATTGCCGTTCCTTTGTTGCTAGGAAAAATGATACTTGACCTTAAACCTTGCTAGCAGCTGTATTTCCACTTCTAGGAGTCTGTCCTAAGGAATAAACAGACTGCAGTTTAAAAGTGTACTTATAGAGATGCTCTCTATAGCGTTACTTATAATAATTCAAATTGAGAACTGAAATGTTGATACATGGGGAAACAATGAAAGACTTTCATATAGTCACCATTAAAATCTCTGGTTTTAAGACTGTTTAAAGACATGAACAATGTTCCCAAAATAATATCAGTGAATAAAGTGGGATACAAACATCATGGTATTTGTTGTCAGATTGTTTGCCAGAAAGGTGGTCCCAGTTTACACTCCCAAGAGTATCTTTGGGCATGCTTCATTTCCTGTGCCCTTGCCACCAATGAGTGTTATTTTTAAATAATATTTTCCAGTTTGATCAGATAAAAATGGTGTGTCATTCCTATATTAAAAAGACATTCACCAGGGAAGACAAAGAACAGTAATTGGCATTTTCAGAAGAGACTTGACCCTAATTGCTACCTTGTGGCCCAACTTAGTGCACCACTGACTATAGATGGACTAACTCTGACTACTGACACTGAATATCTCCCAGGGCCCAGGAGAAAGTTCTAGAGATCAGAGAGGTAATTTGAGTCAAATTAAAAATAATCAAGAAAATTCCACTGCAGTCAAATTTAGCCACTTATAATTTGTCCTTAGATAGGTTATATAAATACTATGTTAAGGTTATCTCCAGCCATGTGTAAAACATTCACATGAACATTGAAGCATACTGACAGGCGGAGAGACAATGCATGCCCGTCAGCCTCCTGTGTGTCAGAGGCTTTGTCATTATTATAAAGTTAGAGTAGATCATAGAATTTTCTAGCAAGTGATTTAAGTTGTCATCATCGTTTCCATTTTTTATATCATTATAAAATGTATGCAAGCATTTGTAGAATGCCCAGGGGCTTTCTGCAATCACTAAAGGGACTTGTTGCTTGTTTCCATTCCCTGCCACTTGCCACAGATGTGCCAGTCATGCCTACAGAATTTTTTTGTCATAGTAACACTGCAACTGGGTAGAATATTGAAGGAAATGTCAAAAATGTAGCCATGTGAAAAGAATCAGAAGGCAGTGTTTTTATTCAAAGCGTTTGCTTTTGGCTTGGACTCCTGTCTGCGTGGAGCAGGCTGGATGTCTAATTTCAGCAGTGCAATTAGTTCTCAGACAAGATGAGAAAAGATGTAACTGCCACTGTGGTATAACTTGAATGTTGCTTCACTAATTCATGTACTTATTTTCTTTGCAATTTCATCTGGAGGCATCTTTTGAGGACTTTTTGTTGCTGTTGATTATTTTTTATCTTTTGAATGATGAAACTGGATCAAATCATAATTCAACAAAATATAAATGAGTCAGAGCAAATGGGATGCAAGAATATAGTGTGCAGTTCCAAAATGGAAATAGAGATATTTGTTCTTCCTTCTTTGAGGAAAATAATAAAACTTTCCATGGTGCGTCAGATGTTGTGTTTTACATTCTCTATTTCCGTAGGTTTAAAAGGTGATGAAAATCAGTTTTAAAGTGTCGAGGTTATTATTATATTCGA